GAACAATGTTGCACAACGTTGCACAATGTTGCATTGTATTGTGACAACTATCCACCCTGAATATCCTGCGCTGCAAACAATTGAACTTCTGATGGGAACAAGTCAGTGAGGATGGAGCTCAAGTGACCGCTAAAGAACTGAATCTTTGTCCGCGAAGATTCGGACAGATTAAACAAGAAGAGTTGGGCTCCCACCTCTTGTATATAGTGTTCCAATGTCTTCACTTGTGCCCATCGCCCACGCCATTGTATCCTGGAAATGTCACCTGTCTCTAGGTATTCAAAAGTCGCTCCGGATCCTCGCAAGGTCCCAGGCGTCGCACCCCCCTCCGCCTGACGCCTGGGAACCTCTAGACGATCCAACACGCAATTCCATTGTCGACGGAAAGAAGCAGTTGAAGCTGGGAACAACTTTGCCTCCAACTGTAAATGGCTGAAGACACACCAAGCAAGAAGCTGGATCGACCAATCGTCAACTCTGACGTGCTGCCTCCTTGCGAAGCGGGCCGTTTTGGGATTCTTTATGTGAATATATAAAGTGTGTTGTTCCATCCAAGTATCACGCGGGAAGACCAAGTCACGCCGACACAAGCATAGGAATTCGTTGGGATGAAGCATCCCGCCGAAGCCCAACGCGACAACACCAGCAAATGTCCACCAACCCCACAACAACGCAACAGCCAAGATGGCTCTCAGGACAGGTGCACTAAGCACTGCCCTGCATTGTCCAGGCTCTTCCAACTGCCACTTCCTGTCTACTTGCCAAGCTCCACTCAAGGCCCGGCGATATTCCGGACAGATTTGTTGGACAGCAGTGATGGCATACACCAACCAATAACGCGGTAAGCCTTTGCGAAAGAGATGAAGACCATACGCTTTCAATGCAAGATTTGCTGACTCTGAAGAGGCCAGCACGACCGACACATCGGTAAGAACTTCATCCTTGCACCAAGTTTCAAAGGCCTGCAAACAACGCCACATCCGGTCCGAGGTCGCTTGTGCAAACCCGCCCAAAAGGTTTAGTTCGCCACGTGGAGGGCGACCTTTTGTTTCAGCTGGACCGGGGTGTCTCTCAACATCACCTGCAATCAACAACAGCAACCTGTACCAACGACCAACGGGTCTAGTCCAAGCAGCAGCCGTCAACAAGGTGTCAAACGCAGCAAAGTCACCACGTCGTAAATCTCGAATCCAAGAGGCTTCGGGTCGAGAAGGCCCGGGAACCGGGCCGTCCCGTGAAGGACCGTCTGCGCGATTACAGCCTGTGGTTGTCCCATCCATCCAGGATGGGCGCGAGCCTCAGCTCGAGTCCGGCCAGGTCATCTCGCAGTCAAGGGAGTGGATGGCCACTAACGCTCTGTGCTGGGGCGTGACGAAACTACACACCTACACTGCAGCTCTTTTGGCTCAAGCTAGAGTCCTCAAGCTGGGGATGTGCCAGCTGCTACGCTGGGCTCAGTCCTCACTGCTGTGCAAGCGCAGACCTCACCTTCCTCACGCTGGCGGCAGCATCTCACGTACCCCCTTTCTGAATTCGACTCAGTGACTTGTGCCTCTCGGCACATAGCGCCCTACCCGTGCAAAAAAAACACCTTCCTCACGCTGGCAAGAGAGAAGCTGTCCATTGAGGTGACCTGAATGCACACACCGGCATTCGGAGTTTTGAAAATGCCGTGCTAGCAGAGCTCCCGTTGGGATGTAGGGGTGTGAATTGCAAATTTGTGCTCCAACACCCACCAAGTCCTGGCAGATCCCATACAGAGAAACTCAGAGCCAACCACTGCTGCCATGTGATTGCTCGGCCGTGTTTAGTGGAGGCAGCACACAAAGAGCAGATCAAAGGGAAGCCAAGGCAATCAGAGTGCTGCGAGGTGAGAACGACAAAATCCCACCGCAAGCCTTCTTCTTTCACACGGAAGTTCGACATGTCCTGGTTGAACCCGTGTGAAGATTGTAGGAGAAGCAGCGTGGAGAAGCTGTCGGCAGCTACAAGTGGTCTACCAGACACGGTAGTTAGCCTGCTGCATGGTGCTTTCAGATGCTGTCCAGCCTTGCACGTGGTAATTGCCCCTGGCTGCCAACATTTCGGCCTTCGAGGAGTGTTGCTCCCTGCAACTGCGGCCCCGTGTGTTTCAAGGAACCTCGGTAAGAAAGGGCAAGGCTCCACTTTTCTAAACCGGAGTCTGCCGGACTGCAACTTCTTGGAATCAGGCACAGTCGCGCTCCATCTGCGGGTTCAACAGGATAGGAACGGCTGCGTGCGTGAGCTGCCAGCAGCTGCGAACTGTGGATTGGTTCCCCAACGAGTGTCATTGAAATTTTGGGTTCCACCTTGTCACACTGCTCACCACAGCAACTCAGC